TTTCACTGCTAAATAATAACCCTAAGTTTATTGTAGATCCTTTTTGGGAGGAAATAAATTCCACCGACTCTCGGAATGGATTTAATACTGCTTGAAGCTCATCTATCATATCCTATTCATTATTAAAGAGTTTTAAAAATTTTTTCCTATTTTATTTAGAACATTATTTATAGGAATTTTGTTTACACTGCGAATACTTTCTACCATAATTAATATGCAATGCCAGCGGGTAGGGCAATTTATTTTTAAAGTTTTTGCATTAATTGGATTGGTTGGGCAATGCCATTTCTATTATTCGATTCATCAGACATATTAAAATGGTCATCAAGGTATAGATCAGAATCATCAATATCCAAGATATTACCTGTCTCATAAATTGACTGCAGACATTTACCATGTTCAGCCTCAATTTCACATTCCAAATCAGCTACTCGATATCTAAGGGCTGAAATAATATCTCTAATTTTTTTAATGAGAATATCAATCTTGGTAACTTTTTTTATGCTATCAACTGTAACCAAATTATGAAGTCCATGCCCTAAGCATAAATGATGCTCATAATCCCCTAATCTGACGCTTCTTTTGACATTGGCCCCAGCATTAGTTACCATTTGTATTATTATGGCTTTTAAATGGAACTCCTCTTCAAAACTATCAATCTCAGATAATATTGTTTCCCCAGTATGCTTTTGAGTCACATTAATAGTTGAGGGTAAAATATTTTAAATCAAAATTTTCATCTAAGTGATGAAGACTAAATGTGATATAATTTCGACGCTTAAAATGATCGGTCCACAAATCAAAAGTGATAGAACAAAATTTTGGTCCAGAGTCAATCAAATTTAAAACATGCGCCTTCATAGATAAATAAACATCGTCTAGTGCACCCCGACTAATGGTTGTCCTATTTGGCAATTCTAACGAGATATCAATTATCTTATATTTCTAATTTTTGAACAATTTATTTTTTATTAATCATTTTATATAAATTTTAAACCTTTAGAAAGTCTGCTATTCCTTTATTGTTTATAGAATCAAATGGCATTAAATCTAAGCAGACATCAAAACATAATTTCGCCCTATTAGATTTCATATTTATTTTAAACATTAAAAAGATATCTAAAAACATTAAAATAGTTAGGGCTAGAATGAAACAAATTATAAATTAGATATAGTTTTAAAACTTTCAAAATAAATCTTTATATAATTAATTTAATAAATTGTATAATATTTAAAAAGATATTTAAAAACAAAATAATTAGAGCTGGAATGAAACAAATTATAAATTTGGTTTAGTTTTACTTTCTAATAAAGTTTTAAAAAATTATATATTAAATAATACTAAAGATATTTAAAAAACCTCAAAATAATAAGGGCTGGAATGATACAAATTATAAATTAGATTTAATGTTAGTATCAGGGATGTGAACCCTTTGACAAAAAAAAGGGTCCGGGTCCGGTAATAAATTTAAAAAGAACCCGGGTCCAGAGGAAACATAAAAATAATGACTCAAAATAAGACTTTTTTTCATTCATTTTTTATTATACTTCAATATATACACATTTATAATTCGAAATGAGATAATTTATATTTTAAATATTTTATTCAATCGCACAATCATGATATCTTCTAAAATATCATCCTTCAGATTTCCACGTAAATTAGTCACGATGAAAATCCACGTTCTACGCTTACCTAAAATAGATAGTCATTTTTATAATACATAAATTATTGTACTTGTGTCGCCGGTACAGCCATGACGATTCTAGAAAAGATTTATAATTCTAGATATATTGAAGAATTTTCCTCCCAGAATTTTAAAATGTTTGCATCTCTATTTATTCTCATAACTTCCGAGAACTTTTCTATTAAAGATACAATAGATATTTTTTGCTCCTTTCTATCAGATGATAATTTAATTTTCTCTGTCTAATAGTAAAATTTCCAGATCATCAATATCGTTATCATTATCAGTTATCGCTACAACCAGTAGATATTGTTGTAACCACCAATGTATTGTAAATAATAGAGTTTTGGGTATGCCATAAATCTTCAAGATGGTCTATAGCCATTTGTTTTTGCTCACTAATTAATAAAACCTGATATCGCGGGTCTAAATATATAGAAGCATATACAACACTATTTTGTAAATATTGTTGCTCTCTTATTTTCGTATTTTCTAATACTTCATTTGAAAAAGAACTTGTTAATCTCCCTAACTCTAATCGACATCTTAACCATATGCCATAAAAATCCGATAAACATAATTGTTCTGCTTGCACTCTTAATGTTGTTATTTTTAAAGGAACCAGCACACTAGTAAGCTCTTTTACTTGATTCCAATCATCTTCTGACAAAATGATTTCACATGCTCCTATGATAAAATCATTACAGAAATCTTTTAAACTTAATAATCGCTCTAGCATCATACATATAGAGGACCAACGTGTTGTGCAATCTAAAATTGCCATTTACCTTTTCATGGATTTTAATATTCTAACAATTGTGGGAGTTCTTAAATATTTTACAACATCCCTTGCTTTATCAATTATAGTTTTAAAGTGACTATTTTTTAGGGATATTCCACGAAAAAAATTAATAAAATTATAAAAATTTTACATTATTTTTTAAAAATTAATAAAATTATAAAAATTTTACATTATTTTTTAAAAATTAATAAAATTATATATTATTTTTTTAAAAACTAATAAAATTATAAAAATTTTATATTATTTTTTTAAAAATTAATAAAATTATAAAAATTTTATATTATTTTTTTAAAATTATATTTTTACATTAATTTAAAAAAAAAAAAATTTTAAGTTAAAAATTTTTAGCACCCTGACTGAACCCTTGGACCCTTTACTTTTTAAAAGGGTCCAGGTCCGGGTTCAGCCAAAATACGAGGATCCAGGAGGGTTCAGGGTCCAAATTCACATCCCTGGTTAGTATTCAAATTAAAATAATTTAATATATAAATATAATTAATATGCTTTCTAAAAATTACACAAGCCACGCGCTGCCATAATATAAATCGGCGGCGAGCTGGCTCGTGCCGCTGATCTCTATCAGCGGATTTTCCGGCGTGAATAAAAATACCGGCGGCGCACAGGTCTAGATACAATCTTGATACTTCACATTTGAAAGGCTTGTAGATATAATCTAAAATAATATTAAATTTATAGATAAAAAAAAATATTTTAATGGCTCTGGCACCCTTTTTAAAAGAGCCAAAATTCTTTCATCTAAGAGAGCATTTATTTATGAAAAGTAACCTTTGGTGTAATTTCTTTAGGACTAAAATTGTCAGTAGTTTTTCTGTCCTTTATTGTTGGCTCCATGAATTTGATATTCATACCATCTGTATGAAAGTTTGGAGTCAGAAGATCTAGATGCTTTGCTCATTTTTTTTTTGTTAAATTGACCTTTGAAATTTTTTTTAAGCATGATACAGTTGTATCATGCTGTGGAAACACCATCTCCATGCTATAAAAATATAATTTATCATTGTTCATATATATTTACCTTAAGCTACAAAATTTTTTGGTAACCTTATCAACCCCTATTCTAAAATTATAATAATATCAAGTAATATATTCTAAAATTATAATAATATCAAGTAATATATTCTAAAATTATATAAATATCAATTAATATATTCTAAAATTATATAAATATCAATTAATATATTCTAAATGATATAATATCAATTAATAAATGAGATAAGTTATACTTACAATTTTTTCAAATTTTAGCGCAAAATTAAAAAAATCAAACCAGTTTGCTTTTTTTAACGCTTGTTGTAAAAAAATCCAATTTGCACAATACCATCTAAAATGCATTATTAGCTTTTAAAACGGAGCGTTGCAACGCTCAATTTGTGCACACTATAATAAATGTTTTGATCAATCAATCAAAATTGAAATGCTAATAAAAAATCCTTAGATGTTGAGAACAGAAAAAAATACTGAAAATGACAAGAATTATTTTCTAATGCTCAGATATAATAGAAATAGTAAGAATAAATATTCAATTCATTTTTCCAGAATAACAGAAAAATGTTCAAATTTAAAAATAAAATGTCCAAAATAATACAAACGTAAAACTAAGATATACATTGTTTCTTAGGACAATTAATTAAATTATAGACAGAACAAAATGGGAAATTCCATAATAAATTCACAAGAAAATTAGCTTCGCCTCCCTCCCCTTCTAAAAGCAATTTTAAAATAGGCTGTATAATATTTCTGATTTTTGCCAAGCATGGCAAATTACCTTTTAAAAGATAACATTCTTAAACTCATATTTAGGTATTATTAATCCATTTTGAGGAAAGTTGTAAAGTCAAATAAAATATATGTTGTTTAGGAAACAAAAGCTAAAATGTGAAATAAGATAATATTCTGAATGAATTTCAAGCTATTCATGATTATTTATAAAAAAAATATGATTCAACCTTTTTAATAATTCTTTAAAAATTGGGAATATTCCTTTTTAATAAATTTTCAGGGATTATTATCATTTATTTTGTAGTCTTAAGCTTTAGTAACTATATCTATTTTTTCTTTCTTCCCAACATTTTTATATTTTTTTCTTTCTTCCCAACATTTTTATATTCTTTTTGATCTTAAAATTTTTGATAAAGCATTAGTATTGTTTGATAATAAAAAATCAGTTATTAAACATTTTTTTAAATACTATATTAAAAATGGTGTGAAGACTTTGTACCAGAAAAAAATAAAAACATCATCATTCCAAAAGTATAATCTGTTCCTTTATTATTGTCTTAGGAAATATAATTGAAATATAAATTATATATTCGGATACCATACTGCAAATAAGAATAAGTCCTCTATCTAATATTTTAATAATTTAGCAAAAAGATACATGTATCTTGCATTTTTGTGATATTTTTAAGATACTTATATTTGTATTTAGTAAACATTTTTTAATAAATAATTGGTATCTAAATAGATACCTTTTTAAAAACCTGCCTAGCTCTAATTCTAATAAATTAAACTATAGTATTTAATTTTATAAATATTTATCTTTTTTGAAGAAAAAAAAATACAAAGGTCAAAAATTGCTAAATCTGTATACAAATTTTTTTTTATAAAAAAAGGTATTTCATATCATTGCAATAAAGGAATTATAATATTAGCATTAGTAACTTAAACAATATTGTTAATACTAATTGAAAATGGAAATAAAATAATTTATAATATGAATAGGAAAATAAATTAATTATAAATTAATACAGTAAATATGTCATGTATGTCTGGCTCAAGAAGAAATTGTATGTAAAAATTTTTAACCCCATTTTTTAGCATAGGAAAAAATATTTTTTAAGATCTTCAGTATTATTCTCCTTATATCTTCTATAAAGAAATGAGTTTTATTATCAAAGTTTTCCAATTGTGGAGATTATAATTGCTATGAATATGGTATATTAAAGGTTGTTTCTTGTTTTATAATTTAGTTATAAAGTGACAACTGTAGAAGAAGATTGCAAAAATGATATATGAGATAATTAATAAACTGAAGTCTGAGATCTGTTCAATATTAATTCTCCTGCTGATATATTAGCTAAAGAAGAATCTTCACTGTTATCTATTGAAGCTAAAAAAGAGTCATTATTAATGTTGAGATTAAAGTTCAAGGTTTCATTTGATACACTTAAAATATCACTTTTGAGGTCATTGGTAGTTAGTAATGGGTCTAAGGGTATAATTTGTGGCAATTTGTAAAAAGTTTCAAAACTATTTTTATCTTCAAATATGGGTTTCTTGTGGGTTGGTATATTAAGGAGATTTTTTTTTGATTTTTGATAAGATTTAGTTAATATTTGAGGCTTGATTATGGAAGATGATTTACTCATAGTATAATTATGTAAAATCCCACTTTCAATATCATTTTCTGAATAAATGTTTGGTACAATATTATTTTCTAAATAAATGTTTGGCAATTTTTTTGTAAAATATTCAGTTTCCTTTTCTGCTTTTATGGCAATATTAGTTTGCTTTAAAAGATTTGAATCATTTTTATAATTAGATAAGAAAAGACCAAATATATTATCCTTTTTACGTGTGGATATTGTGTTTTGAATTACACTTAAATAAGATGTTTGGGTTGACATATCACTAATAAAATTTATTTAAAAAAAAATTAAAAGTCTAAAAACATTTTAGAATCTTGTCTTTGTTTTGAATATAAATCAACTTGGTTTAACAAATTGGATAAACTTTCAGAAGAGGTATCATTTTTCTCTTTGTAATGTTTTGTATTCTTGGAAAGGTTAGAGTTAATTTCATTATCGTAACTTTGATTTCCAAAATTATCTAATTATAATGAGTAATATGTAATCATAATAAATTTACTTTGCAAAATTGATAAAAAAAATTCTTTATGATTACCTAATTTCTAAATAAAAAAATAAAAGGATATATAATATAATTGTATACATTATTCTCAGATTGCAAATCATTTATAATTTTAATATTGTTATTAAATATTTTTTCTAAAACATTATAATTTAAATTAATATCCGCAGGGAAAGTTTCATGATTTTTTAAAGTCAGTTTATCACTATTATTTAGTGGTATATCTTCATTATCTAATTTTGTAACTTTAAATCCATTATTACTATATATATGTTTAATATATAAGCATAAATATCCACAGGTTACTTTAAGACAGGGTCTTTAATTTGAGCATCATTCTATATCTGATTTATAAAATTAAATATAAAATTACATTTACATAATTTTTTGAGTTTATATTAGGTTCAAATCTATGTTGGAACTTCCTGAGCTTTATTTTATAAAATGCATTGACATATATATTATTTTCCTGATTAACTACAAATATAATTATTATTTATCAACCATATGATGTACCTTTTTTTTCTGCTTTTAGAATAGGTTTTTTTAGTAAGGACTTAAAAAATAATTAGATTAGATTTGAAAAATATTTATATACTTTATAATTTAGATTCCTATAATTTTTCTTTTCAATAATTTTTTGATTAATCATGCTATTAGTGATCTGATAAATGAAAACTTATTTCGTTTATAATATAAAGTAAACAAATATATCTTTTTTAATTATGTCCATCATTTCATGCATCATAAAAATTTTAAAAATGAACGATTTACCTAGTTATTGAGATTACCATATTTGTTTTGATTAGGTAGCTGTCATAATCAATGTGTTTATAAAATTTTTAAAAAAAATTTAAATTAAAATAAATAAAGATAAGTCATAGGAATGGTAGATAAATATATAGTTAATTTAAAGCTAATATTTATTAATTTTCTCCTTTTTAAATAAAAATTTATAACAAAAGTAATAATAAAAAATTTATAGACTTATAGACCAAATGACATATTATGTCATTGTATAGACCACGTGCAGTGTCAGTAACTGTGAAAAAATAAAAAAAATCCTCCTAATTTGATTCTTTCATCATCATCATCATCGATGTCAAAATTTCTATCCGATCATGTATAAGGTCTAATTCATTTCCATATGTTGTATATCATAAATCAATTTATTGTGAGAAATCTAACATGAATAGATTGTTTAAATAATATTCCAATACTTAATTTATATACAATTAATTACAATAAATATAGTATATTAGAAATACAGATATGTTGCAATTCAAAATGTTTGCAAAATGTAAACAAAGGAATCGGTAACATCCTAAGGAACAATAATAGTTTTTCTCTCTGATTGACATAAATATATCACAAACCATCAATTATGAGGCCTTTTATTAAGCTTGCATTGCAAGGAAGAAGGTGGCATGACCAACTCTTAAAACAATCTTCATACAACATAATATTTAATTATCTTATCAGATCACTCACATATTTTCATACAACATTACATTTAATTATAACTCAATATTTTTATATAACATCATGTTTAATTATAAACAGTATTCACTCTTCACTCCTTCTTTATTTCAGCGCGGCTCTGCCGTTTTCACAATAACCCGGATTTCAGCTTTGTAATCACTGATTCACCTTACAGATCCTGCATACCTCTCATCCAGAAAACTTTAATATATTGCTCTTTACATAATATTTTTACGATTAAAGTTAATTTATTACATATTATGTATGCTTTTCAATACAATTATTTCTTTCCTATAGCCAATAGAATTCTCAAATATACATTAAATTTTCCATGATGACTGCCTCCCTTTATTTGTTTTCGTTGACTAAAGTTTTTATATGTTAAAAATTGATTATCCTCCTAGGTTTCACCTGCTTTTTTCTTTGATACAATTATCTTCATATCGCCTACTTCTCATAACTTGTTAGTCTTTTACCTTTTTCCACATTGTATTTCTTTTTCTAATTTTTAACTCTCATTTTTTTTTAAAGTTTCTTTTTTAAAAAAATTCATTACTTTTTTAAAAAAATTTAATGCTATCCTTTATTTTTTCTCTTTTTATATTTTTTTTACATCACACTAATACAAAATTGTTTCATACATATTATTTCTCTAAAAAAACAAATATATCATATATTTATATTTAGATACGTATGTTTCATCAAAATATCTTTTCCAAAGCTATTATATATAGGATACTAACTTTAATAATCTCTTCAACTGATAATTTATTGATCAATATATTCATACACATTATATTAATTCTATATTTATTTATTTTTACTCACTCCCAATCGTAAGAAATCTTTTTGTAATCAAAATAAATGATATTTTATACAATTGATATATTAACCACATAGAGTACTACATTTATACTAATTATTTTTTTTAATAAATCACCAAATCACCTTTTTCTATATCAAATAAAAAATAACCACAATTTTTCTTATTCTTCCAACGATTCGTTGCCACATTTGGTACAATCAAGAATTACACATTCCATTCGAACTAATAGAATCAAAACTAACATCAATAAGTAATTTAGTTGCATTTATACTAAAAAATCACTCTAAAAATAAAAAGACATCCATAATTATTTTCGAAACCTCTGCCTTAACTATGAAATAACAGCAATACATCAAAAAATTTAAATATCAACTTCCTGATTCATTCTCCATTTATTTTTCTCTCTTCCTTAACTGGCGTACATGTCTCAGCACTCTCTTGCCTTCCTCTTCTAATTCCACTTCCACTTTTTCGTTTATATATTTCTAATAACCTTTCTCTCAGGGGCGTCTCTAGCCTTTACAATCAGGGGGCACAACTAAAAAAATTTATGGGAGGCTTATTTGCCTCTTTTGCTCGGCCTTCGGCCGGGTTTTATATGAATATATTATACTTTTTTAATAACTCTGAACAATTATTCTTTATTTCATATTTTGTCATTTTATATTATTCACACAAAATAAACTAGCTTATAAATAATTAAAACAATACAAGTCATTTCTAAAAATAATATTTTTTAATACAAAATCTATTTATTAAATAAAATATTTTCGATTGCTGATATAAAAAAATTTTGCGCCTAAAGAATTACAAGTGATAAAAAAAGGTTAATTAATTCATACATATGCCTCAATTGATTATGGTTTTTAAAAACCACTTAATATAATAAAATTCTTAGCAACTTACACTGATTAAAGGTCATGAAACTAATATAAATCTCTGTACCATTTTAGACATTGTGTTATAGAATGGACTAATAAGGAAAAATTTATAGGCCTAACCAAATCAACAATTCTTGAAGAAGAGATTATAAACGACCAATTCAAATCATAAACCTATATGGTGGTTCTAGATAAGTAATAAAATTATTGTGAGATATTAAATTTCTATAAGATTATTTTCTTTTAATATATAAACGACTGCACAGTTTAAAATTATTGCTTATCTAAAATATGGAATCAAATGCTCTCAGCAGCAGAAGTAACCTAAATTATATAGCCACACAAATAATAGATGCTGGTAAATTTGCACTCCTAGCTATGACACTCACAATGTTAACTCATATCAGAATTTATTATGTTAGAAAAATTGATAAAACAAAAACATTAAAATCTATAGAATAAATTATGTAAATATATTGAAGCCTTAAGTTATTTACACGGCAGGATGGTTAGAAATGAATTTTAACGAGAATGATATGATGAAAGCAATTAAGATTTTATATATTATTGTCGCACTACCTAGAGTTGGTATATTATATTTTAAAAAATAGTAGTTTGTAATAATATCAAAAATATACTCGTATTATTTAACTCAAACCTGTTTTTTAAATAAGAAAAAATAGCTTTCCTAAAAACACGTAAAAAAGAGAAGAAAAGATATCTAATTTATTATATTTAAAAAAAAATATTATAAAATAAATTATATAATTTACAGAGGATTAAAAAATATATATTAAAATGGATACTATAAAAAAAAATATATATATATTTATAAAAAAAGGTAGATATATATCATCCAAGAGAAGAGTGAATGCTTAAAAAATTAGACCGGCAAATTTCCAGGGAAATCTGCTGGCGAAGGTAAAATCCTTCATTGGGGTCCCCTGTGATCTGTCTCATTTTTTTTCCTATGATTTTGATGAAATTGAGGGCCTCGTTTCCAAACATGCCTAGGGTATTGGTAACGATAGGAATGAACAAAGTGTTGGTGAGGCCAGTGTATTTATTTTTTTTAAGGATTTCTGCCTTTTCTATAGCAGAAAATGAGAGGTTAGACTTGGCTGCAAAATCAACACAAGTGTAATCCCATGTTAGCGGAAGACCATTAGACCAGGGCATGAGAGAAATACCATCCGGGCGTATGGCATATTTGTTTGAAAGTCCCACTGGTTCAAGGGTAGATGGGATATTAACTTTTTTGAAGGCGGCTAGTAAAATGTTATTGATAGATTTGATGAATAATAAGATTTTAATTTTCAATAATATTTTTATATAAATAGATAGCGTTAAAGAATTGTATTCAAATTGTTACTTATATTTATTATCAAAAGCATTTATTAAAAAAATTTATTAAAATATTAACTGTAATATATTATATAACTGTCAAATTTTAAATGTGGCATTTTACCTAATAGTTTATAACCAATTATATATAATAGAGGATTATAAACTATATGTCTACTTATTATGAAGAAATCTCTTATACATATTTGGAACTTCAAAATATTTTTAGGAAGAGGCATGGTACTTAAATTTAAAAATTATTAATATAGTTAATTAGTGATTTTGCACTCGGCTAATTTTACATTATTAAATTTTTTAATCTACAATTAATAAATGATTATATTTATTTAATTAGCGTTATAAAATAATTTAAATAATAAAGTCAATTAAGCTTGAACTGTTAATGTTAAATTAATATTTAGTGAGTGATATTGATATTCTAATTTTAACACAGAATGTGATTGCAAGCTGACATATTGAAAATATAATTTATATGTATTAATCTAATCTAATAATTATAATAAAAATTTAGATAGTCTTATTAATTTTTAAATAATAAAATTAAATCTCTATATTACGTAATAGAATTATAAAAGAAATTGTTCAGGGGGCAATCAACAATATATTTTTAGTTCAAAGGGATATTAAGGAGCTATTAAAATAAAAATTGCTTCAGGGGCTATTCAAAATTTTCAGGGGGATCCCTAGTGACGCCACTGCTTTCTCTTAATCCATTTAATGTATCTTTCAAACGGCAAAGCCTAAACCAACATTACAATTTTAGAAGCTAGCTTCTCTCACTTCTATCCCCTCGTCTTCCTTTCCTTAAACAAATTCAACTGTTTTTCTTCAAAACTGGTCCGCTAGAGATTTGCCATTCACAATGGCTGAATTATTATAAAACAGCTGTGGCAACTATATTTCCCCTTACCTATATTATCTCTTTTTTTCAACCAATTTTTCACTACCAGACATCCTCCCACCTGTCCATTTGACTGCGAATTTTGTGGCGGTGTTATTATATACCCTATATCAAATTCTTTATATCCCTTACTCTGAAATGCTGGATCTACATCAGATATTATTGTTTCCATAATTCCAAACCTATAACAAAATTTCTTAATTTTCCTCACCGCTACCTTCATCGTTAATCCTGTTACCACACCGAAATTCATTCACCACACGCTTATATTATTAAAAGCATAGATTTGAAGTAGCTAAGAATTATTATCCA